AAAAAATTGTCATTGATGGTTTTAGGGGTCGTGATCTTGTAAGTATCAAACAGATTTAATTCGTGAAACGAAGGCTGAATATCTGAATGCTAGACGAAGGGTACCATGTACCACACTAAATGTTAAATGTTGTTATCGGACAATTAATTGCATTCGTAGTAATGCCTTAAATGAGATTTGAATCTTGAACAGAGATGATGATCCCAGGATTGGTCGTGTTTCATCACACGTTATGACAACAGACACAGAAGTCTTGCAACTCCGAAGATACGAGTGACAGGTGCCCTAATTTATCCGATTTGGGATGACAATATCATCCAAAAAGACATCAACACAGCGTCCATACCCTCTGAAGATACGAGTGACAGGTACCCTAATTTATCCGATTTGGGATGACATTATCATCCAAAAAGACATCAACACAGCGTCCATACCCTAATGTTTAGATATTAACAATGGAATCTATCCTTATACGACCTAGCGTTTAACTAAAACTAAGGCGAGTCTAGCCGAGTCATTTTTTAAGAAGTTAACAGTCACTAAGCTAGTCAAAAAGATCATTTCCTCGGAAGGTCCATCCACCGGTCCCACAGTGAGTAAGCTGAATGCAGGCAACAACTTCAAACCCATTCTCAATAGTCCTGTTAGCAGACTATTAGGCTGTCCTTCCATTTAAAAACTAGGTTTTCCCTTCAGGTTTTCAGACTAAAACTCTGAAAAAATTTACATCTCTACCATATGGAGCGCTATATGCCCTTCAGGTTTTCAGACTAAAACTCTGTAAAGTTTACATCTCTACCATATGGAGCGCTTTATTCTCTGTCCATCATCATGTAGCACGCATGGAACGATGAGAATTTGTAAGGCCAAAATGTTTGTCAAAAATTCGGAAGGAAAAATACCACGGAGGCTTAGGTGCATATGGGATGATAATACTAAACAGGTTCTTAAAGAAATAGTGTGTGGATTAGTTCACATGACTCAAGAATATTCGGTTATGAACCTTCAAGTAATTGCTGTTATAATAAAAATGATCCCAGACATAAGTAAAAATAACGAAATTCCATCTTCCCTCTTTTATGACAAAAAGTTATGTCCATGTGTGAAATTATTCCAAGTTATGAAAAATTAAAAGTAATCTATCAACTTCCGGATGACCAAAAAACGACTATCAGCTTAAAAATAAGGCCTTTTCTGTTTGGGGTTAGTTAATTATATACATATCTCGACGAACAGCTTGCTTCCACCTAAACAGTCTTAAGAGGAGTGCCCTCAAGGGCGTTTTATTATAATAATAATCGAATAAATTTGGCTGGATTACTCAACCACAGCAGTTACTGTCACAGCTGTAGTGCACATCAGAATAAATAGGTTTCAAATGTAATTATTTTTAGACCGCAGTGGTAATTGTTTTGTTTTACAAATGCGAAGGCCTGTGTTTTATATGGCTATTGATGAAGTGAGTAATCTGCCTTCATCGGCTGCGATGTGACAGTCATGCCATATCAACAGTAATCTGGAATAACGGTAATTTGTCATCCTAATGTGACGGCTGTTTTGTGACAGCATATCAAAACGTTGCGATAGTGGGAGTGTTTGAAGAACACGCTATAGACGACAAGCCCACACACAACATGTGTGCGTCCTAGCACTAATAGGTCACAGACATACATTTCATTAGCCCTACAGCCGAAATAAAGGTACACAATCGTGTTGAATACGCACACACGTGTTTAACATAAAACATTCTTTGTGATTTTACATAATACATTGAACCTGACTTTCATTTATTGCAGATATGAATTATTGTCACGAACATCGCCACAGTACATATATTAAACTACAGAAACTCTGAAAATTGTTTAAATTATATAGTATTTATTCAGTAGGCCTATAGCCTGTCTAGAAACGTCTCAAAGAAACGTTAAATACCTTTAAAATCTATTCTTCACAACATAAAACGTCTAAAGCGAAATTACGTCTATTTGCTCTGGATATACTCCTTAGACTATTTATTACATTCTCGGCTTTTCAGAGTAACTTCAGTTTAAATCATATAAAGAAAATGCCCGATACTCGGCTTTTCAGAGTAACTTCAGTTTAGATCATATAAAGAAAAAGCCCGATATTTTCAGTGATTTTTCATAGGGTCCAGAAGTCGATATTATCATATTAAAATACCTAAAATATTTTTATTAAAATACTATTACGCTATAGCCTAAGCCTATGTCTATAATAGACTATGAAAATTCAATTGCGCATGTAGAGATTGAAAGGCCTATATATTATAGTCATTGTAAGTAAACTCCGTAATTTAAGGGAATCTTAAAATAAAATGTTGAGGAGAATAAATGGGTCTAAGGTAGAGAAAATAATAAGAGGATGGGGAAAATTATAAAATGGAGAGCTCATAATTTGATGGTCTGCTCTTCAAAAAATGTTAGGCTATCAGGGAAACTAAATCATAACAAAATTCGAGTGGCGGGACACGAACCACGCATGTGAGATATGAAAAATGCACGGTAATTTCAGTCGGAGTATACTTCAAGGGAAATTATCACACCTGGGAGAGACAGGATAACAGGCCATTGACATGGGCATTGCCAAGTAAATAGGGCGTGGGGATGTGTGACGGATTCATTTGACTTTAGCAGAACCCAGTGATCTTTGTTCCATAAAAGGCGGGGAATTTTTTGATTAGCTGAGCAACAACTTCTCAACAAGAAATCTGTTTCATACAATTAATTCCGTTAACATATTATAAGAATAAATCTCGGTGTAATTTTAACGTTAACCATTCATAGCCTAGGCTTGCAGTAAAAGAGTAACTTACATAAACTTACTGATACATTATTAACATTCTGCAGCATCAGACAAATTTGATCCTGTAATACTTTAATATCGTTACTGGTATGATAAATATCGAAGGGTGGTAGAGTGAGATTGCGTATTTCGACGAGAACTAAAGTTACTGTAGAAATCGAATCGTGGGACAATTCCGAAATGCAATTACAACCCCCAGGAAATATTTTGCATAAACGACTCAGGTTATCTGATGATAATAATTTAGGAAATATTACCTGTGCTTATTTTTGGTCATGAAGGAAACACAGAACCTGGTGGTAATGATTGCAAGAGGCCTACATAAGCTTTAAATAGTGGTCTTGTGGGATGTCGATTCGTTTAGCCTTGTGGTCGTATAGCAACCCACTTCAACCCTAAAGATGGAGACATTATCTTCCCCAGAAACGTTGAAACAGCCTACAGAGAGAAATCCACAATAAACTAATAACGCCTACAAAGACTTTACGATGAAACCTGTAATAATCTGACATCTTAAATAAGGGCCTGTGCTAAATTCAGCAAAATAAAGTTTAGAATAAATGTAGGTGAAAACCCCCACTGAACATATCAGCCTACTGTGATTAATTGTAGGCTATATCTGGTGAGATTTCAGGTTCTCATTGCAGCGGAAGGGGCATATTCCGCCTTCTAACTTTACCGACGTTTCAGAGGTGTTTGCTGCCTCCATCATCAGGGCGATGATAGAGGCAGCAAGCACCTTTGAAACGTCGGTAACTTCTACCAGACTGCACGGTCTATATGAAGACAGTACCTTTGAAAGTTTCAAAATAAAAGAGATGCGATGTTAATTCAGAATGCAAATATGCAGCATATTACAAACAAAATCGATGTTTGCGTCTCATTTTGAGTTTACTTGCGATGCTGACACGTGCTAAGGAGAGGGAAACCTGTCCATACCGGAAATCAATAAAACAAGCAAGGCGTAGAGAATCTCGTATGCAGATTACGAGAGACCACTACGATAAACATATTAATGTCTTCGAAGGACATTTTGATCAATGGAACTTCGTTCTTATTTCTAGTATTATTTAAAAAGGAAACGCTAAAAGCTCCCACAACAATCACCTGACGAATGAAACTCCACAAGGCAAAAGACGAACACAGGCCGCGTCACACCAACTGAATGAAAACGCAGAATAAGAGTATCAGTTTGCCGCCATATTGGTATTTAGCTAACGCTCCTCCCATTTATGTTTCCTATTGGTAGTTCATGTGCCATCTATGGGCGGAGCTTATTTTCTGCACAAGAATAATCATGTCTTGCAAGAAGAGTCCACAACACCCAAAGTGTAGTGTGGGAGAGTTGTAATGACTGGAGAAGCAGGTAAGGAATTGTTTCGACCAGACGAAGTTCTCAAACATCTACCTTACATTAACTGTTAACGATTTTCACGTATGAAGATGTTAAGCTCTCACACACACACACACACAGAATCAGGCCAGTCAAACTACTAGATCACAAACGAATATCCTGTAGGATTAGGAAAACACACACACAAACAAACACAGTCATTCATTCTTACAAATCAAAACTTCGATTTTACATCAAGATGCCTGTATCACACTTAAAATTTTTTCTAAATACGAGTCTCCCAAGCAAATAATGAGGAGAAGTTTTTACCCACCCTGCATCCCCAAAAACACACGTCCAAACGGAAAGAATGAACGAAAAAGACTTCTTTCTGCCTGGCATTGAAACCCTCCCATTTTAACGCCTTCGACCCCACCACCGGCGCTCTCAATTCTCCCCACCATCGTAACTCCACCCATTCTGAAGAAGGAGACAATATAATGACCTTAATAATGTATCAGACAAGGACAGAAAGCAATCCATATCACAGTCTACCGGCGACCAGTGTAATGCAGCGGGAAAGCAGCGCGCGCACATTTGCCATTCCCCACACCCCGCTGAGAAGAGTGGGAGTATTCCGCCGATACTGAGGAAGTGAGACAGTGCTATAACCCAGTGTACGTCTACTCCCCTAGATACCCCCTCCTCCGCGCAACTAGCTCTCCTCTTTGGACAACACCAAACCCCTCGTCTCCCTCCCCTACAGGTCAGACTACCCTCTCTAACTTGGCTACCAGGGATGATATATAGAGCTCTGGACTTAACGTTTAAATCGCGTTGGGAAGTCGACAAGATTAGGCTGGTGTAGCCCTTTTCCTGGGTGGTGGTGGTTGGCTGTAGTGGTGGTAGCTTACTAACTTCGAACCTCTTCTCTCGGACCTTGAAGGGGGGCTTCTCTCCTAAAACTTGCGGTGCTCAATGATAACGCTTGAAGCAGTAGCCGTCTCGGCCCCCACTTTGAGTTGTAACATCAGACCGGACTGGGCTTGGGCTGGACTCAACCTCAAGCTGACGTACTACCTTCCCACTCTCTAGCGTGTGTGTGAGTGAGTGAGTGAGTGAGTGAGAGAGAGAGAGAGTGCGTGGAGGTGCAGAGAGCGCGGGGTTGCTGATGGTGAAAGGGGATTTTTATAATAGAGACTAAAAACCTTCTTCTAGCCAGCTATAAGCCGGATAAGAGATAGACTGGTGCTAGTCGTGGTGGTACTCCTGCCCGTGGAGAGGGGAAGTTAAGACCGATAGGCCTCTATATATATAAAAGACTTTACAGAGGCTTCAAGATTACTTAACTGGTATTATATTCCTACTCGTAAAAAAGAAGAGGTGTTATGGGACAAGCAGTGTCATGAATCTGTTAATCACGGCTATCAAGAAAAACGAGTGTATGGACTTATAACTGATAATAAGCCTGCTGTGAAGTGATGTTTGGACATTGAACAAAAACAGTGCAACACAGAAAGAGTTATTGAATTGTCATGCTTCAAATCTTTTGGCATTTAATCCTCAAAACAGAAGTGAACTGAAACGAACTCTAAAAACCGTTTATATCGCAATCCGCAATAAACTTAAGAACCACGTGTGACGTCCACCACGTGTGCAGGCAAATTGCGTAAATTTACCGAGTGATGGAATCTGTTGCGTGTGTTACAGGACAGTGAATTGCTCCCACAGACTCCTCAGCCACCACCTGACTTGTTAATACCAGTTCTAGTGTACGGAACAGCTTGCTAATCACTTACCACAACAGTTTTCAAGTGAAGAAGTTTTCAACACTACAATAAAATACAAGCTGAATAAAAACTTAATTTCCTTACAGTGCGCATAGTGGATTGTATCCAAGGACACAGAAATTCGTCACCAACACCTCATTAAAGTCTCGGAAGGTAAATGTCACATCACTTAAGCAGCTTTCGTATTCATGTTCCAGTTAACTCTTAGCGCCCGACTTCCCAGTGAGGTTTCCGACTGTTGGGAGACCTCTGACCCACTGCCACGGCACAGTCCATAAATGATCATGACCTGCTTAAGCACGCAAAGCCGGATATTAGTTAGAATCCTATAATTAATCTATAGACTAAAAAAAAAGTTCAATCTCGGTTACAACAGAAATCCTTCTGCTTGTTTGAACGACAAATCCACGAGTCCTACGTATTTCAACATCTACACACACAAAATCACATGTACAAACGTGCAACCACTGTAGCAAAAAGGGTGAGATATATATAAAAACACGTGTAGTAAAAATGGGGGAAGGGGTTGCAAAAAAGGAGTCCCTCTACTGGAGCGACCACTGCAACATAGGAGGAGAGGGTTGAACGGGGGAGGGGTGCACTGGGAGAGTGAGTGCCCCAGCTCTTATGGGCTTTACCGGAGCTTTCGTGTCTAAAGCCCGGGGCTTCAACGAGGCAGGCTATAGTGTGCCGAACATGAGCTGCTTCGCCGGTAACCGACCGAGGCTTAGCGAGCACACAGCTACTCGCCGCAGAAAAAAGCTTTGCACATTATCCCCACGGAAAGCCTATTTAAGCTGTTTTTCATACCTCAGCTCTCCTCTCGGGTTTAGGCCTTTTTAAAAAGCTTTTCCGCTCCATAACAATATTGAGTTTTAATACTTCAATTCATTCTTTTTCTGAAGGTCTGAGTGATTTTTTTTAACACGGAACCGCTACCGTGATTTTCAACTGCCTGATTTTCCAATTTCATCTTCTTTCTAGTACACGGATTTTCGTTTAAGTGGTAGAATTATACGAAAAATCCTAGGCTACAAGACGGTTCCGTTGGTTTGGAGGTTTCTCATCAGTGTACTTGGTAATGAAGAAATGAAACTTTTAAAATTAGGCCTATATCAAAATTAGATTAGATATAGTTAATATAGCAATAAAAATGTGGGGAAATATTGAATAACCCCTACTAGTGTGACAATGTTCCAGGTTCACTATAAATTTTGTAGGAGCCTTAGTATTTATTACGTATGTTACAAAGTGTCTGAGCTAGTATAAATTAATCATACTCAAGTGATTAGATTTTCTAATACGATCACGCAAGTCAATTCAGAGCAAGGACTCGACGTTTCGGAGGGTCATCAGACAATGCTGGAGACAGATGCAGTCTCCAAAATGTTGGATTTCTGTTCCGAATTGACTTGGCTGATCTCCAAAGAAGTCGTTATCACTTGCAGTTGTACCTTCAAGCGTCCAGACTTATAAAATTGTGTTCGACTTCCAGCAGAGAACACCTCTCCAACTACCATGCCGGTGCTGAAGACAATACGGGCCGACGTCTGAACCCTGAAGTGTAACAAACCATGTGCTAAGAAGAACACGCGACACAAAGTGCAAATATTTGTAGTGTGTGAACTGTCCAGATGATGGAAAGAATGGAACCTTTGTCGGACACGGGGCTGTGCCTTCAGGACCTAGTGTCCGGCGTAGCCACATCGTCGTCGGCGACAAGTGGCAGCAGTGAGTCGTCAGTAGCGCACAATCACCACCAGCACACGAATCACCACCATCACCACTCGGCCGGACACGATACCATCGTTCCGGTGAGTGCGGTGTCGGTGTCCTCGGCCGCCGCTGGCATCATGTCGGCCGGCAGCGCCGTGCTCGGTCTCAACCACCATCACCACGTGTCCGCGGCCGTGCACGACAGCGTCAGCCATCACCACGTGTCCTGCGCCCCCACCGTCTTACACCACGAGCCGCTGGAGAAACTTAAGCGCGGTGAGTACCCACGGCCAGCATCGGTCAACATCAAAATCTCGGTTACTAGTAGAGAAGGTTTGGTCGGAAACTCTCACTTCACAAAACCGACGAAAATATTTATGTGACCTCACAGAAATAGAACGTAAACTCTTAAATATATTATCGATGGTCCATGTTGAATTTAAAACAAATTAACAGGGTGTATTTCATTTAAAAAGGGGTAGGAACCGTAGAATTTATATGGTTGTTGTTTTTGGCACGTATGAGATAAAGCTTTGAATTACAAGACTATTTGGTAGGCGTGAAAAGTGAAAAGCCATAGGCCTATAATCTGCTCCAAAACAGACATGTAAGTACTAGGTCGCTATTATAATTATTAACAGCAAAAGTATTATAAAACCTACAAGTAATAATGTATAAGCCTATAGTACAATTTGTTTTGGCCTATAACTATAATAACTTATTAGCCCCATTCGAACAAGTTTACAATAAGTCCGTTTAGGGACAAATGAGGAAACGGTTTTAAATGTTGATGTTGAAACATTTCTTTTTCATGTCTGCGCCTTTGTATTTTGAAAAATTCTGTTAATTTATAATTTTTAAAAAATATAAACTTTATTATAAAATATTATAATTTAACTTAAATAATGTATTTAATGTTACTTGCAATTTGTTAACAAGAAGAGATTTAAACGGACACACAATTCGGATTTATATTTCAGTTTAACAATCCTGGCAACATCACAACTTATTATATTAAATCGTGCCTTATCTATTATGAACGAACCCCTGGTGATAGAAATTAAATTTTGATAAAACTTTCTTAACTCTGTTTTACGGAAGTTGCTACGATGGATAGACCTATAATTTACATCTGGCGTAGACCCTAACGTAGTCCTCGAATACAACCAATCATATTTCAACAATAACGTGTCAGTATAAAGCTAACACCGGATATACAGATAACAAATCACACAGGACACAATTATGGCAACGGAGTTTCAGCAGTAAGCCTACAGGCCTACACTACAACAAAAACAAAAAATGATTTTGTAACCACATTCCGAATCGGATATCTTCATTCCTGGTGGCAGACCTTTAGTAGAAATCATTAATGTAACATTATAGTCAAATAGTCTCTATACTACACGCTTCAAGTTCCGCAAATCCTGCATTAATAGGCTAAGCGTAGGCTGTATTTATAAATTTTTGGTTTTTAATTAAAATGCGAAAAGTAGATTTTATAGCCTAATTACACATGTCAGCTCTTTTTTATTTAAGTGATGGTACCACTAGAAATAAATACTATCTTAAAAACAGCCACGTTCGCTTCCTGTCCAATCATTTCCGGGTCAATTTCATAGGCCTAAATCTGCACAAACAAAAATAAGGGTGCGAAGTCTGCCACAAACATAGATTAAATATTCAAGAGGAAAACGTTCAAACACAAGACATTTTAAGGACATTTATCACTACGAAAAAGTGGTAGTGGAACAATGGTTCCGGAGAATTTGACGTAAATACGTCTATACGGAAAGGAAGTTTATGTATTGGCTTTATTCTAAATATTTCCTTTATACATGCTTTACAATTGAGTAAAGTTTGATTAAGACATTGCTTATTTAACTTGAATTAGTTACGCTTAAAATGGGTCTGTGGTAGCTGAATGTAATGTAACAATGAAGTTACACTTTTTCGTTTCCCTTTTTCGTAACACTTTTTTGCCGAATGACCCTTCCTCATAGACGTATTTACGTCAAAAAATACATCGTACTTTAAAGAAAAAGGCAAAATATTCCACTGGTAAAAAAAACCCTGGGAAGGGCTTATACCCTTCCTACAGAAATAGTTTGGCGAAAATTAAAGTCAAAAAACAATTGCGATCAGTGGACTCGCATCCATGCCAGTAAAATGGGGCCTACTTAATCTGGTAATCTGTTAGGCTTTTGAAATTTACTAGCCTACATTGTTCACAACTTGAATAGATAAATAAATAAATAAAGTAAGGTTGGCTATGATCCCTTCTGTTGTAGCAATATAATCAATTTTGCACTCTTCTAAAACTTCATAATTATGTGCTAGCAAAGCTAATTTAAATTAAACAACAGCATTGACACAATTTGGCCGTTAATTAAATCAACGAAAATTGACAGATTTTTCCGCAAACATAATTAACCTTTCCAGTGACAGAAACATAACAGAGTAACATAACACAAGAAAAAATGAAGAGTTATTTCATAATTCCTTTTTAAATTCAGTTAAATGTTTACACCACGTTACTCTCAACACATAGCCTATAATAGTACACATCTCATCAAAGACCATTTCGATTTTCGACAGACATCCGGTGTTTTAAAGTTTACACAGCATCGAGGATATAATTTTAGTCGCCAATTAGCTCGCCCATAAATATCACGAAAATCACACACCTTGAAAGAATACAACACTAAAATGCTATATTAGGTTTTACCATCACTGTTATCATATCTAATAAAGGATATTCTTTAGCCTTAGGCTTACTAATTCTAACAGCTGTAAACCTAGGTGACTGAATTAAATTTTTAGCGTTGGGCTAAAAATGTAACAGCCCACGGACATGTCACGTTCACCTACGCACTCTTTTTAGCCGTTGAATGGGTGTGATACAGCGCAAAACGAAAGGAAGACAAACAATGGAATAGAGTGTATGCGTGCCTATATTTCTTGCTTAGAACATTTATTTCATAAACTTATTTTACGTAGGAAAGAAAATGTCCTGTTATAGAACACAGTCCTTCAGCTAAATTCCATCCTCGACTATACCTGTGGAGTTTTATCCGGGTTCCTTCTCCCAGACGTGTTTTCTGGGCTACATTTGGCACTCAACTGTAGTATGTCTACCAGTTCATGTCAGCAGACTTGGCAGAGTCTGCATGTTTCTTTGTGTTCCATATGTACTTTTGCAGGAGCAATTTATTTCATACACGTAACCTACATAATTATTTTACATAGGCCTATATGATTTTTTACTATCATATTGGAGTAGCTTACTGCCAAAAGGTAGTATTCCGAATTTATTTAATTGGTTCAATAACAAGTAATTTCAAGGGACAGCTGACGCATGAAACCTCAAAAAAAATTGAAATTTCAATAATGATAATGTTGCGAAATTGTTGAAAAAAAATTTCCCTGAGATATTAAATGAGAACTTAAGTGCAGTTAAAAGATGTAGACAGAAAACTAAATTAAATCTGTCATTAAGAAGCCACTCGTCACATTCTTGGCCCACTATAGACAGAAATATAATACGGACACTGGAATAGCATATGACTGTGGTCAGACCATGTGATTTTAAAAGGGTAATATTATAAAGTATATGAGTTTGATTATAACCAGTTTCTTACAAGATACCTATGATTTATTGTTTACAATTTGTGTAACCCTTTCCGTGTTACGAACGAGTTATAACGATTTAAAACAGTGTTCGTATGCTGTGAAATATCCAATATTTGGCATCATTTAAACCTCTTACCCCATCTCGCAATATTTTATGTTACACGTATGCAAATTTCTAAAAGATGAATATAACTTAAGTTACTAATTTATTAGAAAATCCCAGCTTAACGAATGTTCAATAACTGTAGAAATGCAAGAAATCACTGAGACCCACTTGACATCCGTCTGCAGTGTAAAAGGTGTATAAACTCTACTCGAGAATTAGGCCTACAGTACATATAGGCATGTGGTAATAAGCTCATAATTTTCTGTGATTTTCCTATATTTGAAAACATTTTATATTTATATATCTATGGAATATAATTTCCCATTCCAAAGGCTAAAGTGCGTGGAATAAATGGTCACTCCCGGTATCATCGAATTTGCAATGCCATGATGTGTGGGGCATGGAATGTCATCTGTTTTGAAGTGTCAGCCCGCAATGAAGTTTTATGGATTCGTAAAATATGTTACTGAACTCTTCGGTTCTCATCTGTAATTTTAAAATTCAAGCTCACAACGTAAATGGAACGCTGTGAACGGTATTGCAATCTATATCTTTAGAGTAAAAATAGCGAAATGGATGTAAGAAATTTGGCCCCGTAAAACAAAACGTAAAGGTTTAGATATAAGCGGAACAGCTTAGTGAACTCCAGTTTAAAGTTCATTTTCAATACAAAATCTATGCAATTTCGAATTTAAAGGTTTATCTCAAATGATGAGCAGGTTTTGCGTCCAGGATATAGGCCTACAAAATAATTTAAAAAAACCTAATATTTCCGAAAAGGCACTAACACCATTCAGCGGAATTAATTCAAACGACAAATCGTTAGAAATGTGTTGTTGCTATTTATACTAATACATAGTCTCATACTTAGATTTATCCTATAAAGGGTTTCGTTAGAGATTTGAAGTAATTATTCGGCAATTTCTATCAAAAAATTAAAAAAAACATGGTTTTCACAGACAGTGGTAAAAATTGCATTGCTCAGACATGTTTTTTGTGCATTTCCAATTATACGTAAGCCTAGAGGCTATAATTTTGCATTTCAGAAATATTAAATTATAGTGCTTCAAAATTGATCATTATCAATCAAAGTTATAGAAACCGTTGTCGTATAAGGAAACATCATAGCCCATGTGCTTTTAAAAAGGCCTACACAGTGTCCACGTTTAGCCAGTATGATTAATGACGAACATTATAAGTTCAAACCATAGAGAATCTCCTAAACAAAATTAAGTTTAGGTCTATGTTTATAATACGATTCGAATACGTTGGTACAGAAAAGAAACACAGTTACGGTCGACAACTGATTTCAAATGCCTAAGCTACGTTAACAATTACAGGTGTTTAAATTTAAAGTTTAAAAATGCTAGAAATTAATTCATTACTTTCATTTACCCAAACAATGATCATATTACACAGTAGAACTCCATTTAATCCTGATATAAACAAAGAATAAAGACAGAGAAAGATTTCGCAAAGGCAGTCAGGATAACCGGTCTCTGGGATGGTATTTGAACCAAGAACCTCAACATTGAAA